CCGGAGGTTGAGACAGGCCCATTGAAGTTAAGGCCAGCCTGGGACGACAGGCTCTGTCTCAAGAGGAAGATGAAAAGGGGGGGGGGGAGACAAGAAACAATTGCTGTAGGGAGGAACCGCGACGACTCCATTTATCTCCATGTAGAGTCCATTGCTGACTGTGGACCTCGTTCAGAGATAACTGTTCCTCTAACGGCTATCGCCTGACTTTTAGGGCACCACCCAAACTCCGCACATAATATCCTGTGTGTGGAAAACCTAAAAATATGTCCCAGGGATATGTGACTCCTAAGAGGTCTGCTGGCAGGTGAAGTGACCAGTAAGCCTACTTTGTAAGCTGGGCCAGGTTTTCATAAAACAGTGAAGAGCACTTGCATGTAGGGGAAATTCCAGAGGTACTGCAGGACTTCAAAGGGGACTTGAGAAGAGCGGTTTGGGGCTAGCCTTTGTAGCACAGCAGTAGAGCCCCCGCAAAGCGTGGGGTTCATCCCCTGCACCACGAAGAGAAACAAACAAAACCAAACAACAAAATGTGAGAAAAGATTTTCACATTTTTGTTGCTTGATCCATGGTTTTCCTTTGACTCTCGAATCCACGATTTTATACGGGAAGTGAAGTAACTGCTTCGTGGTGAAATTATGAAGCTGTTAGTCTTACATAATAACTGATAGCTCGTTAAAAATTAAGTTTCCCATGTAATGTTCATCCTTCACGTCTCTTAATCTCGCATTTCTGCTCATTCTGTGATACACATGAAAGCAGCCCAAGGAAACACACAGCCCTTAGACACAGCTCGAGAGCGGTTGACAAGAAGTAGAACAGCATTGCGCGCACATGCGCACTTGTTCTCCTCAACTTGGGTCAGGGTCGAGGGTAGAAGAAAAGGCTGGAGTTCAAATTTACAAGCTCCGACTCGGTAAGGAGACAGACGCATTATCCTGAGCTGCTGTTCTCAGAGTTGGGAGATGCTTGGTGGCTAGGTGACTCACCCTGCTTCTCTGGCTGTCTACTGTGCTTTCACCCTTCCCTTGCTGAGGTACCAACGCAGAAGGGTGTTTCTCTGGTTCAACTCAGCAGGTTTATGTTCTTGCGATCTGGAGGAAGCCAGTGAAACACTTTCTAAAGGAGGACCTGTTGCTATAAAGTTTTATATACACTTTGATGTGCTTTTCCAGCTGAGAGAGAATGTTCTGTCCACATAGAGTTTAGCATGGGGAAATTTTAACTCTTAAAAAAACTGTATTTACAAGACTGTGGCATTTGAAATTGAGGGACGGTGACTATCAACAGGAGTTGGTTTCTGGCTTGGTTTTTCTCTTGACTTTCTAGAACTCCGTCTCTTCCAGAAGCAAATCTGATTTGGAGTGGGTGCCTGAGGGAGGTAGAACTGGGTGTGTGTTCTGCTGTTGAAGCTCCCGAGTCCTTACTTCACTGTTCCCGTGAACAGACAGGAAGATGTGGAGGAAACCCTGTCCTGCCCCGCCAGTCTGCAGAGCAGTGCTAGGCGTTGCTTTCCAGGGTAATGCGAAGCATAGAAGAGTTCCACACTGCAGGACAGAGCCCGTTCGCTCGTTACAAGAAGTCTGAAATTATCAAGGTTGACTTGGAAGCTGTACTTAATTACATGGGTAAACAGTTTAATAACTGTTATCAAAATAAACAAATGAATGTAGAATCTGGATGCTGTCTTCCCCATGGGCCGCTAAGCCCTTTGTTCCTTATTCTAAGTCTGCCCTGGCTGATCCAGTGCCTTCTGCTGGTTCCACTTACTCGAGTCATTCCATGTCAGGTCTTTCACAAGACATTGTTGTTGTTTTCCACTCTTACAAACATCCTTTCCTCTCGGTCCCAATGTCCCCAGCTTCATCCTTCCACAATTGAGAACTGTGAAAGGCAGCCTGGCAGTGGTGGCGCACGCCTTTAATCCCAGGAGGCAGATCTCCGAGTTCAAGACCAGCCTGGTCTACAGAGCAAGTTCTAGGACAGCCAGGGCTACAGAAAAACCCTGTCTTGAAAAACAAAACAAACAAGACAGGTGAAAAGTACTTGTGGAGATATTCCATGTCAGGCAGCATGCTGGGATTCAGCAGAAAACACAGCGGTCCCTGCATGTTAATGAGAAAAACTAGTGATTGTGTTGCTATTGGCGGGAAGTGGTTTAGGGCCCAGAAGAGACAAAGAAACCAATCGGTGATGGGGTGGAGGGGGTAAAGTGAATCTGGGTCGGTTTTAGTCAGCAAGCAATCTTTGGAAGTCAAAGTATCACAGTGTTTTATGTCAGTAGTCTGGATTCGTGAAGTTTGGTTTTCCGTGGTATTGGAATTGACCAAGGAGCTTGTAGAAGCCGGAAAAACACTGTGCCTGTGCCGTCCAGCCTTATGCTCAACCCTGTGCGTATTTACAGCTTCTTTCCCTGCTCTTAAGTAGTGACTTTCGCACTTGCATTTGGGGCCTTGTTTGGTTGTCGATGTTGTTTTCCATTTTGATTTTAGAGACCAGATTGACCTCAAACTCATAATCCCCTTGTCTCGTCCTCCTGATGGCGAGCTAGATTACTGGTGTGTGCCATCATGTTCTCTCTTAAATTCCTAAAAGCAATGACAATAACAAGCTATCTTCTTATGAAAACGCCTTTTAAATGGTTGCCAGAGAAGCACCTTTCAACTCTAACCAGAACCAAAGCCCAGGGTCCTCATCACCAACCACCTGAAATTCCCGTGTCCAGAAAAACCCTCTGATGGGCTATGGAAGAAGTTTCTAGAACAGTTTCTAGCTCTACCTGGATCCGGATCCTGCAGGTCGGGGGAGGGAGGGGCTGAGAGCTTTGCATTTTTTAGGAAGCTTCCAGATGATGCCGGTAACTGATCAGAAATGCAACCTGTGCTGAGATGGCAAGGCTAGAGGGTCAAAAGAGTAAGGAACGAAGGCGAAAACAGCTGGGCTGGCTGTGAACTCAGCCAGAGAGCTGTTGCCAAGTACGCACTGAGACCCTTCTCTGGTTCCCAGCACAGCCAATCCCCCCACCCCCACCCTGAACCTCCCCAAAGGTGAAGGTACATTTTCTTCTAGCTACATGAATAGACACTCTGGTCTACATCTTATTTGCTTTTAATTATTCTTGCCAATGCAAATCAAACACTAATAACTCAACTAAACTGGCTCTCGGCCCTGCTCCCAGGAACAGCTCATTTTGTCAGTGATCTGACTGGAAAATCCCTGCCTCTCTCCCACCCCAGGATGTGAGTCTCCCGCTTGTCCAGGCCACCTATGATAAAGGTGTGCATCCACCCAGTTGAGTGATAAGAGGCCCTGGCCACTGAGTAACAGGAAGCCAAGTGCTTGGTGGTAGGAGGTGTTCCTTTTGGCATTTTGCCTAGATCCAACTGGTTTGTGTAGCCGTTGAACTGCAGGAATGGTTTCTGAAGCCAGTCTGTTATTCTACAGTGTGTCCAGGACCTGGCAGGAAAGTTACCCTTCACTTTGAAGACTCACGTTAGAAATGCTTGTATTTGGAACTCTGGCAGTTGAGTGACCTGCCTGTGACCTGTAAAAGAGCCACAACAGGAACGGAATGCAAATTTCTCTTCTACCAGAGTGTTCTTCCTGATGATTTTCTTCAGCTCTCTTAGTGGCCTCACCTACTTACTCTATTCGGGACATGCTCTGGTAGACCAGCTGCTGACTGCCACCAGGAAAGCAGTTGGTTGTTTTGCTCAGACAGTTCCCACTGTGCCTGAACTCAGATGGTGGAGTTATACCCAGCCGGGTCTAGATAGGCAGTTCTAAAAACTTTTTCTGAGTGTTTCTGAGTGTGTACATCCTATGTCGGAATGATTCCCATCTCCTGCCTGGGGAACTTGACTGTGGAATTCCCCTTGCAGAATGGATTGAACCAGTGGCTCTGAGCCGCCTGAGATCTGCGTGGACACACGTGAAGCCTCGCTGAGATCAGGCTGTCAAGGAAAGGCTGATAAATGGCCTGGAAGTGCTTTTCGAACCTCGAGCTGAGTCATAATCACCTGGAAGGAGGGCTTGTTTAAATGTCTTCATTAGCTCACCGGGCTCTGTGCCCTTAGGGTTTCTGTAGGAGGCTGGAGCCTGACACCTTCTAGGTCCACTGTCCTGCCTCCATCTTGAACTGCAGTATCTATCCGTGATAGCTAGGGTGGTGGGCGCGTGCTCACTGTTAACTCCTGTACTCGTGATTGGACATTCACTGTCAGGAGTTCCCAAGCTTTACAGATTTGGCATTTTGGTGCTGTTTTTAAATATCAAGGCCGAAGTTCTCAACAATGTCTAGTGTGCTCCCTCTAAGTCCTCTTGGTTTGTACCAGGAATCAGCAGAGACTCAGTCTTCTAAAGCAAGGAGGCGTGGAAGCAGAATGGAGGCAACTGGGAGACTTGCTTCCTATTATTACATATCCTGAATCACAGTCTAATGAGGAGAGCCAAAGCAGGAACTCAGGGCTGGAGAGATGGCTCAGTGGTTAAGAGCACTGACTGCTCTTCTAGAGGTCCTGATTCCCAGCAACCACATGGTGGCTCACAGCCATCTATATTGAGATCTGGTGTCCTCTTCTGGTGTGTGGTCATACATGGAAGGAATGCTGCCTACATAATAAATAAAGAAATAAATAAATAAAAGCAGGAACTCAAACTTGGAGGCAGGCTGATTCAGAGGCCATAAAGCAGTACCGCTTACTGACTTGCCCCTCTTGGCTTGCTCAGCCTCTTTCTCGTAGAACCTAGGACCACTAGCCCAGGGATGGCACCACCCACAATGGCCTTCATTATTATCAGTTGAATTTGTACTAAAGTTAAGTACAGCGTGAATTTGAGTTTATACCAGCTGAGCTGGGGAAAAGCAAGGCAGGGTTTGGCTTGCCTGGTGTTTTTCCATTTCTCCGAATCCCGTAGGCGCAGTCTCTCCCATGACAAGGATCGGGTAGTTGGTTGGTTTGTTGAAGGTGACTAACGGGTATCCATCTCTGTTGATACAGCTCTGCAACATCGCAGGAGCGTCACGGTGAGCTCCCTCTGGGTCTTGGTGACCTGCCCTCTGATGAGGAAGTCATCAATAGTTCTGATGAAGATGACGTCAGCTCCGAGTCCAGCAAAGGAGAGCCAGACCCACTGGAAGATAAACAGGTATATTTTGGCAATCCATTATTTCTGCTTTTGTTTATCTTGGCCTGCCGCTGTGCATGGGAATGCGATCTATCATACTGATAGGAACACAGCAGTAACACCCCTGGTGAGTTAGTCTGGAAATGTTTCTCAAAATTAAGTCTTGTTCCTGCTGTAATACAGCACGTACAGTGTTACATATCCAACCGTGTGTCACCTCAGGGTCATTTAGTGGGTTTTGAGAAATTATTTCACTAATGGCTTTTTATATGTGCATATATGTGTATGTGTAGAAATGTATGTAGTTATGTCTGGATCATGAATCTCTCTTAGGGCTTGTTCTTGTCCTGCCACTAATTCTTACCTTTCTTTGTTGTGGGTTCTTTTTTGTTTGCTTTTTGTTTTGTTTTGCCTTATGTGTATGGCTGTTTGGTCTGCATGTATGTCTCAGATCCCCTGGAGCTTGAGTTACAGGCAGTAGTGGGCTGCCATGTGGGTGCTGAAAATATAACCTGGTTCTTTGGAAGAACAGCCAGTGCTCTTAACCACTGAGACAACCCTCTGACCCATTGTTTTTATTGTTTTTGAGACAGTGTAACCTAGTCTGGCATTGGTGCATTCAAAACAGTCCTGCCTCAGCCTTCTGAGCACTGAGATTATAGGTATGAGCCTGGGCAGTTCTTAAAATTTCTTGAAAAAAGGTAATTATATGCATTTGAGGCTTGATCACATCTTTAAAATTTTTAAAAATAAATTCATTCTGTGTGGGGGGAGCACATTTGAGCGATCATGCTTCTATGCTTTGGTACACTTGTGGAAGTCAGGATACAACTTGCGGGAGTCAGTCTTCTCCTACCACGGGCCTTGCGGGTTCAAACCCAGGTTTTCAGGCTTGCAGCAAGTGTCTTTAGCCCCCAAACCACCTCACCGTCCTGATCATGTCTTTTTAAGGACAGAACAGAGGTTGCTGTTTGTAAGTTATTTCCCACACAGCTGTGGCAACATACCCGACAAGAGACAAACTTAATGGAAGAAGGGTTAATTTGGCTCACAGTTCAAGGACAGCCCCTCGTGTCCTGGAAGTCACGGCAGCATGAGCTTGAGGCACAGACAGGGTCCCTGATGCTAGTTCTCAGCTCGCTTTCCCCTGTATTCAGTCCGGGACTCCAGCCCATGGCATGGTGCTACTACCCACTGTTAAGGTGGGTCTCCCTATGCCAGTTAAACTAGTGGGGCTCGTCTTGCAGTTACTACTGCTGCGATAAAATGCTGTGACCAAAAGCAGCTTGGGAAGAAAAGGCTTTGTTTGGTTTACATTTCCTGAATCACAGTCTAATGAGGAAAGCCAAGGCAGGAACTCAAACTTGGAGGCAGGAGCTGATTCAGAGGCCATAAAGCAGTACCGCTTACTGACTTGCCCCTCTTGGCTTGCTCAGCCTCTTTCTCATAGAACCTAGGACCACCAGCCCAGGGATGGCACCACCCACAATGGCCTAGGCCCTCCCCCATCAATCACTAAGAAAATGCCCTACAGGCTTGCCTACTGTGAATCTTGTGGAGGCGGTTTCCCATTTGAGGTTTCCTCCTTCCAGATGACTCTAGCTTGTGTCAAGCTGATCTAAAGCCTGCACAGGGCTAATCCTTCAGAACTGTGCCCTGAACTCAGTCTCCTGTGTTCCTATAGATCCTGTCTAGTGAACAGTGAGTGGATCACCTCTCTCAGTGTTACTAATAGAGTAATCGTTTTCTTAAAATAAGCCAGTGTGTATGTGTATTATATATATGTATTCATACTTGTGTGTGTGTGTGTGTGTGTGTGTATGTGTGTCTGTGTATGTGTTCAGGAGACATGAAAACTGTCCATATGTTCATAAAGGTTTAAGGATATATAATAGGGAAATTCCTTGTATTGTTTTAGTTTATTATAAACATCTGTATGTTTCATTTGAAATCACATTTCTTTGAATAAAGATATTATTAAAGGGAAAAATTTGCATAGCAGCAATGTCCCCATGCTATATTGGAGTGTTACAGGGTGGAATTTTGAAGGATCTTCACAACATAGCAAGCCAAGGACGAAAGAAACCCTTGTCACCTGAGTCCTTGTTATATTTTCCTAATCCATTATGCCTCCTGCTTAGCTTGTGTTGCTCTGTTTAAATTTGCTTCTACCTTTAATGAATGGTACATCGTGGTTTTCTAAAATTGAGTCCCGGGGCTGGAAGTTGGCTCGGCAGGTTAGAACCCTTGTTGCTCTTATGGAGATCCTGGGTTCAATTCCCAGCACTCTCGTAATGACTCCCAACTGTCAGTAACTCCAGTTCCAAGGGATCTGACACCTTCTTCTGATCTTGTCATGGGGTGCACATGCATAGATGCAATCAAAAACACATCAACACATAAAATAACAAAATAAGTAGATATAAAAAAAAATTGGTTGCCAGCTATGATTTGAGTAACTTGAAGCTAATTACTTAATCTTTTTGGTTTAAAGAATGCCACTTTGTAAATGAAAACAAAATATTACTTATACATGATTTGATATGTGGAAAAAGTTAGACTGTGACCCAGTATGGAGTACGAGCTCAGTGACTTTGTTGTTTGCTGATGAGACTTAATTTCTGAACCGGATGCACACATTTGTGATTCTAGCAGTTGGGAGGCAGAGGCAAGAACATTGGCACGAGTTCAGGACTAACTGCGGTTAAATATTAAGTTCCAGATTAGCATAGACTATGGAGTAAGACACTGTCCCAAAAGCAAACAGGCACCCCAGATGCACACAAACCCCACCCCTGGCCCGACAGGAATAAGTCTCAGATCAGGGTGTTGGAAGCATTGCTAGAACTCATTTAGGCAGAAGGTCTGTAAAGCCCCTGGCAGCAGAGTGACTTGGTGCTCTGAGGGGTTTGTTCGGCAGTCAGGGAGCTGCCCCTGTGCCCTGCTCACTCCTTGCTCCTTTGCAAGCTTGTTTTCCATGCTATTACTCCTTGGTTCAGACCCTGGAGTAGGTCAAGGATAGCCCTCACGTCCCAGGTAGCCTCAGTGTCTGTTAGACATCAGCGGTGGCCGTGGCCCTGGCTTTTGTGGTATGCCCATCCCAGTGGAGGAGGAAGAGGGACCAAAACTCATCAACAGGAAGAAGCTCAGAGTGTTTCCAGGCTGCACGGGGCACATAACAGTGATGTGCTGGAGACTGCAGTGGCTGCTTTGGACGAAAGCCTCTGAGAAAGTGGTATTTGACTAGAATTTAAATGAGTGCAAAGAGCCAATGCCTGTAGGGAGCTTGAGAAAGAACATTCAGATAGTATTGTGTGAGAGCCATAATTAAAATCAAGCTCTCCTCGCTTTCTTTTCCTGCTTCATACTGTTGTTTTGGCCTGTTCTTTTTCACTTGAACCTTGTCTGGTTTCTCTATTGAAGTGGTAACCACAGTGATCTCCACATGACGCTGGAGATCATACCGGTGCACAGGGTAAAGGAAGGCTCTCATGTGGTCCATGATTCTGTCCAGCATCATGTTCTGTCACTGCCTGTGATCAGTGGAGACTCCTAAGTATAGTAGGTCTTTCTGGTCAGACTTTCTTTTTGGGATTGCCAGCCCCAAAATAATGACATAGAGACTGATTCTTCATTATGAAAGCTTGGCCTTTAGCTTATGCTTGTTCCCGATTAGCTCTTATAACTTAAATTAACTTGTTCCTATTAATCTACGTTCTGCCATGTGGCTCTCTATCTCTTCTCCATTCTCAATGTCTGATTCAGACATTCCCTCCGTTTCTGACTGGTGTCTCTTGCATGCCTAGATTCTAACATTGAGTTCCTCTCTCTGCCTGGAAGTCCTGCCTAACCTCTCCTGCCTAGTTATTGGCCGTTCCGCCTGTTATTAGACCAATCACAGCGACACATAATCTTCACACAGTGGACAAATAGCCCTCACCACCTAAGGTTCCTTTCTGTCTTTGTGCCTGCCTTTGCTTCCCTCCCTTTCTTTATTTCATAGTTCCTTGTCCTTTTGTGCCATGTCGCCTGCTAAATCTTTATCTTTTTTTTTTAACATTTGTGTGATTCTCACAGCTATCACACACACTCACTATCACAAATTTGTAGAAGTCAGAGGACAGTTTTTGTGAATCACTTCTTTCCTCTCCTGTGTGGATTTGAGGGACCGGAGTCCACTCTTGAGGTTTATGTGGCAGGTACTTTTACACTCTGAGCCACCTCACTGCCCACCCTCCTTGTTTTCAGTTAATTGTAAACATGTGACTTTTTTTTTTAATCTTGTATCAGTAGCATCAATAATGTCTCTCCTTTAGAATTCTCAACTACTCTGAGGAACTGAGATTGTGTGTCTTCATCCAGAACAATGAGGTAGAATATATTAGCTAGATGGCTGTCAGTCTGCCTAACCACAGCCTAGTGAACATTTTTAAGTAATTTGCTTTCAGAGTGGTTAGGAGAATACAGTCTTTGAAGTGAAATTGTGTTTGGGTTCCTACCTCTCTCAAGCTCTATGATTTTGAGTATCTCACTTTGTTTCCCTCTCTGAAAAACAGAAAGAAGTAGATTCTAGGGTTGATGTTTCCCTTCCTTCAAGGATTACTGTGAAGGAATGATGGCCCTGCTGAGAACAGTGTCCAACCCAGGGTTAGTGCACAGCCGACGTTCAGTTATCTTGGTCATACACAGCAAGGGGAATATCAAGCATTTCACAGCAGTCCTTCTGTGTGTGCCCATGAGTCCACACCATCTAACACACCCCTGGTCTTTTCCAAGTAAGGAAGCCGTGTGCTTGTCATTGTTCTGCTTCAGTGGGGAAGACTGGTTCAGACTTAGCTCTGCTGTGCTGGATGACCTTGAATAGTCACTTTCAGGTTCACTGTCACAGGCCTATAATCCCAGCACTTGGAAGGCAAAGACAGGAGGGTTGACAGGAGTTCAAAGCCAGCCTGGTCTACCTAGTGAGTTCCAGGCCAGCCAGCACAGTGTAGCTAGACCCCAACTCAAAAGCAACAACAAGT